TTTTTTTTTTTTTTTTTCAAAGTTTCGCATAAAAATAGGATGAAAAAAAAAGAAAACAAAAAAATATTTCCCATAAAATTTTTTCCAAGATAAAAGATTTTTTTTTTTTTTTGAATTTAAAAAATTTCATTATTTATTTTAATTTAAAAGAAGAAATAAATTAATGGAAGGATGTTATAGTAATAACAGCAGTTGCACCAAAGAAACAGATTAATTATTATAACACAATACACGTGAAAACACGTGTATGTAACGTGAATGAAAAGTGGAAAATGTTAAATTATTTTTTTATTAAAAAAAAAAAAAAGAAAATTTACAATGGCAAAGTTTCATTGCTTGTTTTATTTTTTATTTTATTTTTAAACACATTTCAGTAGATAATTTTTTATATTTAAATTTTTGAACTGTTCTTTTTCCTTAATTTTGCAAAAAAGAAATGATTGAAATAATTTTGATTAAAAAAATAAATTTTTAATCAAAAAATTTTTCATTTTTCTTAGTTTACATTTATGATAAAAATATTTTTGTATGCAATTTTGTTATTTTTTTTAAAAAAATTATGTATATCAAAATTTACTTTAAGTTCGTTTTTTTTTTTTTTTTTTAATTTTCTTTATGAAAAGAGTAAAAAAGAGAAAGAAAAAGAAAGAGAGAGAAAGGGAGAGAGAGAGAGAGAGAGAGAGAGAGAAATCAAAAGTATTTACTAAAAGGATATTAAGAAAATAAATAAGTTAACAAGTAATGAAATTTGAGGTAAATGAAAATGAACAGGTGAATTCATTTATAAAAAAAAAAATTCAATTTATTCATTTCTATCATTTAAATGGAACATAATAATAACATAAAATAAAAAAAATGTAACAAAAGTTTTTATCTCTATGCAATTTTACAAAGTTAAAGAATTATCAAAATTGTGAAAATTTTTTAAATTTTAAAAATTAAAAATAAAAAAAACTTTTTTTGCTTTTTGATTTTTTTAAAATTTAAGTAATTATAAATTTTGTTTTCTATGCGTTCAATGATGATATATGAGAGAAGATAAAAAAATAAAAGTATAACAACATAAAAAAAAAAACTATGCTATTTTAATTTAAAATCCTTAAAAATTTTTTCTCTTGATTTCATATAGTCGTTTGCTTGAGAAATGATTGAAATTTAGATAAGAACTCTCGTTACTCCTTTTTTTTTTTTCTTTTTGGTTAAAGCTTCTGGGAAAAAAACAAAAATTTGCTAATGTTTGCTTGGGGAAAAGATTAAAAATAAAAAAAAAGAAAAGAAGAAAAGATAAAGTGAAAAAAACTTTATCTTAATATCATTATAATAAATATATGCTGAATTTACCACTGTTTTTTTTTTTTTTAAAAATACAAAATGATAAATTTAATATTTTTTAAAAAAAAAAAAGAAATGTAACAAACATTAGTATTAATTACAAAATAAATATGCATTATACGTAATTTTAAACATATTCAATACATACAATTAAAATATAAAAATGTAAAATAAAATTTGATACAAAAATTAAATCATTTCTTCTAAATATATTAATTAATTATTACAGTACAATTATTAATATATCATTTAGTATACCTAAATAACTACTATAATTATACATATATAAATGATATGATATGATATGATCATAAGTTAAAGAATGAAGAGTGAAATAATTTAAAAAATTTGAAGTATTCATGAGCCGTTAGTTCGATCGAGTTGTATTGACGATAATTATTGTAATGATAACCATTTGATAAATGCATTCCGTTCAATCAGTATATACTGATAATGGGAACAACAGAATCGACGATAATTTTGAACATTACATTAACCCTTCTTTTGCAAATTTCTCTCCTCTCTCTCTCTCTTTCTCTTTCTCTTTCTCTCTCTCTCTTTCATCTCTTTTCTCTTTGAATAAAATTATTTATTCTTTTTACTAAAAGTGTTGCATTTGTAAAACAAAATCCTTCATTTTTTTATTGTTGCTGTTGCATTTTAATGTGTCAAAAATGGAAAAATCAAGCAAAAAAGAAAAAAGAAAAGAAAAAAATTAAAACAAAAAAAAAAACTTTAATTATTTATTAAAATATTTCAATTATTCATGCATTTTCATTTTTTTTTTTTTTTTTTTTTGAAAATATATTTATTATTGAATATTTCTTTGTGTTTATTATTAGTAACTAATACAATTTATTATTATTCATTCAAATAGAAAGTGAGAAAAAAAAAAAGAAATTTTAATATATATCTAATAAATTTCAAAAATTTTTTTGTTATAATATTATTTGAAATTAAAAAATAAAAAAGTTTTAAGAAGAAATTATTTGTCATTACATATGCAAACAGGAATTATTGATCAGTGTTATAAATTTGAAATGAAAAGAACAAATATCATATACAAATGATATTATAGAGAAATGCAGGATGCATAAGATAAGAAATGAATAAACTTTCCTGAAATAAGTTTTTTTTTTTTCAGGAAAATGGAAAAAAAAAGAGTTTTTTAATTTCCTTTCACCGGAATTCCTTTTTTAAAATTTTATATTTTTTTTAATTTTTTTAAAATTTTTTTTTTTTTCTTATCTTATGCATCCTGCATTTCTCCATAAAAATTTTTTTTAAAAAAAAATTTTTTTTAAATTTTAAAAAAAAAAAAAAAAAAAAAAAATTGAATTTGTATTATTATTATTATTATTATTATTATTATTATTATCATATTATTATATCGTTATTATTATTATTATTAGGTTAGTGAAAACATCAATTATATAATTATATTCCGTATTTTAGTATAACGTTTTGCTGTATATTAATATCGATTAATAATAATGAATTTTAACTGATTTATATAAAATATATATAATGATAAAAATTTGTTAATTATGATAAAGAAAATGATTATTTTACAAGTATTTCTATAATTATATCATAAACTGATTTGTTATTGATTCATTTCAAAAAATTAAATTTAATAATTTAAATTCGCAAAAATTTTTATGCTGAATTTTGCAATGAAATAAAAATTATTGCTTAATTGTTATCAAATTTTCACTTTATTATTAAACTAAAAAAGAGAAAAGAAAAAAAACTTATCAGTATAAAATTGATAATGAAATGCTCTAATGCTGCTTGCATTGCATGCTGTTTGCATTGCATTCCATATTTACATTTTTAGCACACATTGAATAATATAATTAACTTACATAAATGCAAATTAGGTTTTGGAATGTTAATGTTTCAACTGAAATGTATGATAAGAAAGGAAAAGAGAAAATAATAGAAAGAACAAAAAAAAAAAAAAAAAAAAAGAATGAATAAAATGTGAAAGTATTGCAAACAAATAATGTTCGCATTAGATATAATTTTGCATGCTGCATGCTGCATGTTTTAATGCATGCAACATAAGTAAGTGTAAATGTGAAAAATAAAAAAACAAAAAATAGTTTATTCAAGCAATCATTGCATTTAGCACTTTAGCTTAAATAATTTTTTGCAAAACTTTTAAACGATTAAATAGGCCATTTTAATTTAATGGAATTGCAAACAAACATGCATCAATCATTAATTGCTTCGTTTTTTTTCCGTTCCCAATTTTTCCCTTTAAATTCTTTTTCATTCAAAAAGATAAAAAACAGAGAGAGAGAGAGAGAGAGAGAGAGAAAGAGAAAGAGAAAGAAAAAATTTGTCTATAAAATTTATCAGTGCAAAATACATAATTATTTATGCAATTTTTAGTAATTAGTAATGATTGAAAAGAAAAAATGCAACATTCAAAAGTTAATAATTTGCGAGAAGAAAAACAAAAAAAAAAGTTGAAAAAAGGAAAAGTTTAATATGCTTGAAGGAATAGATAGAACAATCAAAAAAAAATGTTATTTCTTTTACATTTTTTTTTTTTTTTTTTGCTTTGAAATATATTCCCTTTTGATATTAATCTTTATAGAAAAATTTTTTTAAAAAAAAGAAAATTTAAAAAGCATTCATTCATTTTTAAGTTTTTCTTTCAATTCATACTTTTTTCATTTTATTATAAAAAAACTGTAAATTTTACAAATGTTATTTTCCAAAAAATAAATAAGTAAATTAAAGAAATTTGAAAAAAAAATGAAGTTAATTGAAGTTTCCTATCTTTTTTTTCTAAACTGTATTATTTGAAATTTTAAAAATTTCAATCCGATTTTCAATTTTCAAATGAATTTTAAGATGAATTAATTGATTTGATTATAAATACAAATATTTTGATTTTATAAATTTGGAAATGTTTTACAATGCTTAGCAATATTTTATATTTGATCAGATAGATTTATAAAATGAACTGCGGTAATTAATTAATTAATTATCGAAATTATGATAAGTATGTTTATTTTATGACAGAACAATCAATTACGAAAATTTATCAAAAAAAAATTAATTCCTATTTTTACAAAAATATGAATTTCATTTCAACCATACATAGAATTCACGTTTGAAATTTGATGTAAATAATTATTTTAGTATTTTTTATTGCTTGAAAAAAGGAATAAAACTAACTTCAATAGTATATCCGAAAAAGAAAAATAAAAAACGGAAAAGTAAAAAATTAAAAATCAGAAAGTGGAAAAAAAAACCGAAAAAGGAAGAAACGGAAAAGTAAAAATAAGCGAAAAATGGAAAAATGATGGATACAATTTGTTTGAAATTTGATCGAATAAATGTTTCACAAAAAGAATGTCAACAAAATATTACTGAGCCAAATATTATTAGTTCTTATCAAACAAACATCTCATTATCATTATCAGCAATAATAAATCTTTAACTCTTATCATGATAATAATATCATTATCAGTTACACAACACTGTATTTTCATGATTATTTTAAGCGAAAAAAAAAAAAAGAGCTGACTTCATAAAAATGAAATAAATATTTTGATGAATAATTTAAACTTTGAATAAGTTCAAAGTTTTTTCTTTTTCTACTATAAAGTAATCTTGCAAAACATTTAATATCAGATAAATGAATTATATCAAACCAAAACTTCTTTGGAGTTCTCATCTGTCATCAAAAATCCTAAAAATTTACATAAACACGTTAATTTTTGTTCATTTTAACATTTGAAAAAATTGTAAAAATATTTTTCATTTATTAAAATAATATTTAATTATTAATCATTGCATTTCTAAATAGTCTAATACACATATATTTTTTTTAAAAAATACGTATATATATTAAAAAATTATATTAAAAATTTGAAATAATAGAATTTTTTAAAATATAATGGTTAATTAATTAATTAATGGTTACCGGCAAAAGATTTGTTTTCTGTAATTAAAATTTCAGAATGTCTTTCAGTACTAAGCGCTGCTAAACTTGTGTATGTTCCGGAAATATTCTCCTGCCGTTCTGAAATTAATTAAATTACAAAAGCTGAAATAAAATTTTCTTAAATATTAAAATTAATTACTTAGTATAGTAAGCTTACTAATTAGAAAATGGTAAGGTTATAAAACATGAAATTAGAAATTTTATGTTATCATAAATAACATTAACTTGAATTAGTTTTTTCTACTACTTTATTTTAAATTTTAATGATTTTAAATAAGTTACATTTACTTTTAATTTTTTTTAACAGTGAAAATAAAATCAGAAAGAAATAAATTTCAAAATTTCTGTAAAATATATTTAAAAAAAAATTCTATAGCATACTTGTAAAGAAATAAAATTTTTGAGATTCTCCGAATAGTTCTGCTTCTTCCAATGTTTGCGGTATTGGTTTACCTTTTGTTTCCGGTAAGAATAATGATGCTATTCCGGCTGATATTGCAAGTAAACCCATAATTATTAATGGTAGGATACGTAAGTAATCACCCTGAAACTGTTCACTTTTACATTGATAATTTCAAAAAGTTGAAATTTTAATTTTAAAACATTCAAATTAAATTTTTATAAAAATTAACTGAAATATTTTTATAATATATTGAAATAATCAAAGTAATTCTTTCTTCTTTTATTTTTTTTTGTATTATAAAAAAATGTTGGAAAAATTATTTTGAATTTTTGTAATTTAGAAATTTTTATTCAAAAAAGTATTGCTTAACTAATATATAAATGTATTGAAATAATCATAATAATAAATAAATTATTACAAAAAAGTAAAAAATTGAAAATGAATTAAATAATAAAATAAATGTTCGTATTTTAAATGACAAATATATTATTTTTACTATTATTGTATATAGTGATAATAATAAATTATTAATAATAATAATAATTTAATATTTTTAAATTTTCTACGAATTTTTAAGCACAATAATTTGTTATTTTGCAATGATTAAAATTATTTACAAATAAACAATCATTATTACAATTCATATTTATTGCCATTTGATTAAATTAATAAATACTTTAAACTAATTTTCACCTATATCTAATAAATTAGCAATGCAACAAACATTCATCATATCACTTTAGTTAAATTGAAATTGTCACTTATCACATTTATATTCTTATCATATCTCTATTAAACGATAGCAATAATCAATGTTATCATCAAATAAATGATAGCTATAATATTAAGCTGATAATCTAATAATGCATGCGCTGTCATTCTCGAATGATCTCGAATGATTTTTATAGTATTGATATACGAAGGATAAATTATTTATTAGCCAATTATAAAATCATTTTTTAAAAGATAACATTAAATGTTACTGTGATTTTATCACAGCTATTTTTTGCTTGTACTAATTGTCGCTTTATCATAATTATTTATGCTAATTAGCAATTTGTTACAATAATTTTTTGATCATGCTAATTTGCCCAAAAAAAAAAAAAAAAAAAAAAAAGAAGGAAAAAACATATATGGCAGAAATTAATTGGCATATTTGATAATCGTTGTGATAAAAATGATATTTGAACTTATTTGGAATGGTTTAACTTATTTTATTAATATTTTAAATCGTAAAGAAAAATATTTCAATCATTCAGAAACAAAATTTTCTTCTTTTTTTGCATTTCATTTGATAATTTTTTTCCTTTTTTTTTTGAATTGAATTTTTTTTTGCTATCATTAAATAGATAAAAATAAATTATTGAAATTAATTAACAAATAAATTAGCGCAAAAAAACAATTTTAACTTTTTTTTGACGTCAAAACGAAAAGTAAGTCAGTTAATGAATGATCAATAATAAATTTATGCTATTTTTTTTTTTCAAATTAAAATTTAAGAAAAACAATAAGATAAATAGAGAGAGAGAGAGAGAGAGAGAGGAAAGAGACGGAAGAAAAAATTCTCTGTTATTTTTATTTTTTCTTTATTTTGAAAAAGAAAATGATTTCAAATGTAACATTACATATATTTATAATGATCTTTTTTTTTTTTTATGCAAAATATTTATCAAAATTTCTAAAAATTATAATTGAAGAAAAAAAATTAAAGTTTAAAGTTGAATTAGTTTAAAATTATTCAAATAGACATATATTTTATAACAAAAAAAAATACAAAAAACCACTAAAATATTCAATTTAAAATTAAACTAAGATAATTTTCTGTTCAACAAAAAAAAAAAAAAAAACCGCACCAGTCGTACAACATACGGTGCAAGAATAAGTCCGGATCCGGCAACCATTGAACTCATACCCATACCGAGGGCACGTACAACAGTCGGATATAATTCACCGGAAAATAGATATATTACGGCAAAACTTGCTGCTATACCAAATTTTCCTACATATGCCATTATTGCAATAAATAATGGATGATGTGCTGCAAATTTTTAATTTTAATTTCACAGGAAAAAAAAAAAAAACGAAAAAGTGACATTTTAATTTAATTAAGTTTATTTTATAAGCAACATTTTAATAAAATGAAACAGTAAAACAAAACAATAAGGTGAGAAAAGAAAATAATTGTAACGCTTTATCAATTGTTTTGTTTTATTTTCTTTTTTTTTTTATTTATTATTTTTTGAAAGAAGGAAAAAAATTAGTTTTGAAAGATTTTTTAAATTTTAATTTGAAAATTATTTAATGATATTTCTAAAATTTCTAATAGCTAAAAAATGTTATAAATTATGCGATTGTCTCTCATATTTCCATATTTCATAAAAAAAACAAAAAAACAAAAAACAAACAAACATCGAAATATAAATATTACAAATGCTGATATGATTAATGTTTAAAATTAAACGTGTCTAACGTGTCTAACGTGTATAACGTCAATGCATGCATGAGATAATTTTTTTTGAAGAATAAATAAGGATTTAACATTGGCAATTTCACTTTTTTTTTTTTTTTTAAATTAAACGTGTCTAACGTGAATAGCGATAACGTCTATAACGTCAAAGCATGTGTGAAAAATTTTTGGTGACTAAATAGATAAGCAATGCTAGCAACGTTCTTTTAATTTTTTGTTTTCTAAATCTTTCTTGAAATGAAACGTATAACGTGTATTTTAAAGTGTATCACGTATATAACGTCAATATAAGTGTTTGAGAAAATTTTAGCAAAGAATAAATAATAATTAAAATTAGCAATGTTTATTTCTTGTTTACCATATTTATTATTATCAAATTAACCATGAGTAATTGATGTTAAAATTGTTGAAATGCATGCTAAGCCTGCAAGTATCATAGGTGCTGCTAGTGACCATCGACGTCCGATAGCATCAAGTAATGGCCAAATAAGGAAGTAAGCTGGCAGCTCTACAGCACCATTGATAATAAATGATAAGAAATCATTAACAGGTAGATTTGATATATTAAATGTTAAACAATTATAAACAACTGCATTCACAAACCTATAATTTTTTAAATTTAAACAAAAAAAAATGATAATTGTAAAAGAAATTTATCTAAGTAAAAGCATATTGGAAAAAAAAAAAGTTAAATTTGAGATTGTCATTCTTCTTTAAAAGAAAATTTTATTTTATTTTTTTTTGAAAGGTCTAAAAAGAATGTAAAATTTTTTTTAACAAACCAAATATAAGTGATAAGAATGGTTTTCTTGCGAAGATTTGGTGTTCGAAATAAATCAATTAAATTATATTTGTTTGAATGCGCTGTTAAATTGCAACTATTTGCGGCAAACTAAAAATAAAATTTATCATTTAAAAAAAAAAAAAAAAAAAAAAAAGAAGAATTTTTAAAAATACAATTTATTTTTGTTTTTAAAACTTAAAACATTCATAAATTGAATACTTTTTTTCCTCATTTTTCATCAGTTATTTTTATGAATTTTTAAAGAATATATATGATATATATAGAAGAAACATATTCAAAAATGAAAAAATTTCAATTTAAATGTAAAAAAATTGAAAAAATTTATTTATATATTTTATATGCTTTGTAGCCTTAATTCAAATATTAAATTTTGATAATAAAATTTGAGCAAAAAAAAAAAAACAATAGAATAATTAAAATTTTAGTCATTTAAAAATAGTTTTGATCAAATTGTTGAAAATATTTCTCGTTTCTTATTTTTTTTTTTTTTTTTTTTCTACAATTAACTTTGTTCATTTATTTTTATTGAAATGTAAAACTTACTTTTATCATTAATTCATCAACATCTACCTCATTTCGTCCATTAATTTTTGCTAAACGTTTAATAATAGTTTTAGCATCATCATAACGGCCAACCGAAACCAGCCATCGTGGTGATTCCGGAACAATGCTTCAAAAAATTTTATTTATTTCTATTTTTCTTTCAGTTTTTTTTTTTTTTTTTTTTAAATTAAAATTACAGAATTTAAAATAAATAAATAATTAATCAATGTATATAGTTTATTGCAATGAATGATCAAAAAAAACTATTTCAGCTATTATTTGCTGAAGTAATTTCTATTTTACTAATTATTTCATTAATCTAATTAAATTAATTTATCGAATATTTCTAACAAATCAATTTAACAACATTTAAATTTTTACATTTTTTTTGTTATTTTTTTGCTTGATAACTTATAACTTAACTTTATATGTGCAAAATTATCATCAAAATTATCATCATTACAACAACAGTAAAAAAAAAAAAAAAAAAAAAAAATTTATCAGTGATCACAAAATTTATTCTTACTTTTAATTTCATTAAAAATTTTTAATTCTAATAAAATAAAGAAATCTCTTAATATCATCTCTATCACTATTACCATACATCTATTACTTTTAATCATCAATCATAATTTTCAGTACTTAACAATGAATTTAATTAAAGCTTAAACAATTTATCAAATAATTTCCAATAAATTAATTCAATAATATTTTTTTTTATATGTTTCACTAATAACTTAATTATAATATTTAAATATTACCATTTGGATTGTTAGTAAAATTACTTACAAATAATAAATGAATAAAATAATAAACGGTGCATTGCTAAAGAAAATTAATTGTCGCCATCGACGGATAAGCATTGCTAAGACACCAAGAAGAACCATTGCTACACCAAAGAAAACATCAAGCATAATGCTAGAAAATATTCGACCCGATTTACCCATAAATTCCATACCTAAATATTAATTTATTATATAATAATATTAATTAAAATCAATTTTACTACTAATTACTTTAAAAACTTCAAAAAAATCTCAGTAAAATATAAATATTTTGGTGAAATTTTATTTTTAATTATTTTAATTATTATTTAGTAAAAAGCAGTAATTAGTATTACTTATTAAAAACAAAAAAAAAAAAAAAAAATGGAAAAAAAACAGTTTTTGTTAAGAATTAATAAATTATAACAATTAAATTTTATTGATAGTAAAAAAAAAAAAAAAAAAATTACAAATACTTAGTAATTTTATTTGATGAATTAATATTTTTTCCTATAATTGTTATAATTTTCGTACTTAAAATAAAAGGTAATTGAAAAAGTGCCGGAAATGCTAATCCGGTAAGAAATCGTAATACAGTAAAAGAATACGTATCCCATGCAAATGCATTCATTGTACCACATATTACAAGTGTTGCAAGAATTGAGAAAAATGATACACGTCGTCCAAATCTGAAAATGTTTGAAATTACATAAATTAAAAAATATATATATTTAATTTATGTATAACTGATTGATAAGATAGAATTTTACTATTTTCAATTTAAAAAAAAATTTTCTAACTTTAGTATTTTAAGTAAGTATCATTTTTCAAACAGAAAAAACATCAGTTTTAATATTTCAAATTAATTTTAAAATAATTTTTAAAATTATTTAATGTTTATTTATTTTCCAAAAACAAGTCAAAATCTTTTATTTTTCTTTTCATTAGCAAATTAATTTATTTTTGAAAAAAATCAATTATTGGATTTATTTATTATATTTAAAAAAAATTCATTTTAAGTCGTTTTCACTTTTTTTAAATGAATTCTTTTTTATAGCAATTAATTGCTTTAAAGAAAAAAATTTGTCAAAGATTCTATTTTTTTTTAAATTAATTGCATTCAGATTTTTTGAAAGATTTCAGCAATAATTTAAATTTCAAAAAATAAAATTGTTAAATTTTTTGAAAAAAAAAAAAGCTTACTTATCAGCAATATATCCAAATAAAACATTACCAATGAAACTACCAATGTAAAATGCCATACTTGTTAAATCAACCCAATATTTTCGATCACATACCAAATCATACTAAAATTTATTAAAAATTTTTTTTTATGATAACTATTTAAATAACAGTTAATCTTCTAATATTTAAAACAATAATAAATGATTCAATAAAAATTAAATTAATTAATGAATTAAAATAAGAACTAAATCAATTAATGATTTAAACAGTGATTTAAAAATATAATCATAATGATGGTATTTACATAATAACACATATGTGATAACGATAAGAAAATAAGATAGAAAAAAGTTTCAAAATTTGAGAAAAAAATATTTGTATTATTTAACAGCAATGAAAAAAAAAATTTAAATTATTTTTTATTGATGGGTTTAAAATGAAATAATAAAAATGAATAATAATTGATTAATTAATACATCTAATTTTATTTCAGCTTGTAAACATTTTAATTCTTTTGTAAACATCTTAGACAAATATTTTTCAAGTAATTTTTCAAATAGTAATTATATAAAAATATACAAAATAATATATGTAAATATATTTATATTAAAAAAAATTTATAAAATTTCTTAAAATGCATGTTTATTATGATAAATGTATATATTTCATCAATTTAATTCTTATTAAATTATTTTCTTCCAAATTTCAAAAAATAAAAAACGAACAAAAAAATTTTATAGATAGTAAAATTTTTTAAAAAAATATGAGAAAAAAAAGGCAAAAAAATTTTTTAAAAAAATAAAAATTTTGTAAAATTTTTTAAAAAAAAATATAAGCATTAGCAATTATTGCAAGCTCTAAAATGAATTATTTGTTAAATTTATTAATTTTAACATAATCAAAAATATTCTAATATGATATCAATTATTAAATTACTTTAACAGTATGTTTTATATTACAAATATGTGCAAGTAATATGTAACTGATTTAGGAAATTTTAATTTTACAATATAATTTTAAAAGGATAATTTAAATATTATATCAATTATGATATTATTTTAATTTATGCATGAATAATATGTAATTAATTTAGGAAAAATTTTTTCTAATTAATTAGTAAATTAATTAAAAAAGAAACGAAGTGAAATACCTCAGTGACTAATGTATCAATATAGATGTTATCATCGTAGATCCAACCTATTTGACATGATATCAGTGATAAATTCCTCAAATATTCCCTTTCATTGATCAAATTAATACTAGAATTCAAAAGTTGATCAACTTCAGTTGCATTATACTGTTGACAACTCATTTCATCCTGCAAAATTTCAGAAAAGAGTAAAAAAAAAAAAAATTTTCATAAATAATTTGCAAAATTTGTAAATTATTTAAATTGCAAAAAAAAAAAAAACAGCAGAAAAGAGGTAAAAATTTTATGAATAATTTCAAAAACATTTAAAATCCAAAAAAAAAAAAAAAAACGGAAAAAATTATAAGCAATGTTTGTTTATTATTAATAGTAAAAATGAAATTCAAATTTCATTTCTTTTTTCACAATTATTTGCGAAAATTTCAACAAATGAAATTTAAAATTTATTAAAATACCGGTGTAGCAAATTCATTTATTGGACTTAAATCTTCACGTCCTTCTGGCAAACGACAACGATGATTCGGCTGACCAACAACAAATGGCTGATTGAAAGCCGAAAATGCAGATGGTAAACTTACCGGCAAACAAATTACAAAAAATAATGTAATTTGAAATGGACCAAAATCGCCAACCTATAAATTTTTTTTTTTTTTTCTGTTTACAAATTTTATTCCATTTTAGTAAATGTATTTTTTTTATTTCAATATTTAAAAAGTTTTAAAAAAAATTAGAAAATCACTCAAATGTTTTTTTTCCATATTTTTAAAATTTCATAAAATTGAAATGAATTGAAATTAGATTTTAATATTTCAAAACTTTTGTGAGTTTTTTTTTCTCACTTATTTAACTTAAATAATCTTTTCTAAATTAATGACAATTAATGAAGAAAAGAAAATATTATAAAATTTATAACAAATTAATAATTATCACCTCAACAAGTAGAGCATCGAAATCCATCACTTTTTACACACTATACCATTCACTGTTAATTGAGTATTTAATTATTTCGATTTTAAATTGCAATTTTCCATTGCACCCTTCGAGAATTAAGAATGATACTATTAAAATGTCTTTTTTTTTTTAATTTACAACAAAATATTATAGATTGAAAGGAAAAAAACATATATTATCATTTTTTGATTCTTATGCAAGTTCATAATTAAATTAACAAACTTTAAAAAAGTAATTTGTAAAATGAAATGAAATATGTTTTGTTATGAAAATTTGACATTTATTTGATGACAAACTAATCAATCATTGTCTATTATTGTTGTTACACTTGATTTCAACCCATTTCATAAATTTATATCTTTTATCACTTTTGATCGGTGTTTTTTTTTCATGTATGATGATAAAATGAATTTAATATATCATCTATTAACAGTGCTAGTTCAAATTTATAACTGATATTTTCTTTCTTTTTTTCTTGTTTATTTGTTTGTTTTCTTTTCTAAAATATAAGAAAGTGAGAAAATTCAAAAAAAAAAAAAAAAAAAAAAGAAAGAGTAAGAATTAAGATAACATGTGACGAGTGATGTTGTCAATCAGTGTGTAAGACATTAGTTTTATATCAGAATGATAATAGCATATATTGATGCGAAGATAAGAAATATTTGTCAAATAATCATTTCTTGTTATTTTTTTTTCCAAAAAAAAAGAAGAAATATAAATTGAAAGTTATAAATTTAAAAAAAAAAATAATCATAGATTAATTATAAAAAAAAATACTTGGTTACATGAAATTTAGTTTTAATTATTTTTTGATTCTTATTTACTTTGTTTTTTTCGTGTTATTTATTTAGCGAATAATTAATTATTTAAGTTTACAACAAAACTAATCATTTCCTTTACAATTGTACTTCACATCTGTAAAAAAAGAAAAAATTTATGATAAAATTTGAATTAGACACGAATAGCTAATTAATTAATTAGTTAGTGATTTAATTAAAAAAAACTTTAATTTAAAGAAGAAAATGAAAATTATCGTTAAAAGCTATCATTTTGTTAAATAGAATTTGATAAAATAAAAAAAAAAAGTGTTTTTGCGATAAGAAAGCAAAAATGACAATGAATAATTTCATTTAGCAAACTGTCAACAGTGATTTTTCTTAAAAATTAAATTATTGAAATCTGTCTTAGGATTTTTCCCCTAAATTAAAATATCAAAGTGTTACTTTTCTTTTCTTATTGAAAAACAAAATTAAATTCTATTCTATCATATATATATTTTTTAGATTTTTTACGTTTAGAAAAAGAATATAACTTTTTTTTTTTTTTATAAATTATTCAATATTCAAAAATGTTATATAACAACTGATAATCTTATCTTGTTATCAGCATATAATCCATAATAATGAAATTGTTTTAAAAAATTTATTAAAATTTTAAATAACATTAAATTAAAATAGCTTACAGATGAATATATAAAAAAAAAGTATGATGACGTACGTGGCATAAGTTAGACGCCGATTTTATTGCAATCATAGAAATAATTGCAAATTCAAAAATTTTTTTAATTTTCCTCTTTTTTTTTAATTGCTATTATACTAAACCACAACAGTTTTTTGCGCAAAAAAACATCAAATTAAAAAAAAAAAAAAAAAAGAAAATAAATAGTGCAATTTTCAAGGATTATTTTATGAATAAAATTTTTGCAAAAAACCAAATGATCAATTAAAATTATAAAAAATAAATAATTTTTTTCAAAAATTTTTAATGCAATTTTAATGAAATAATAAAACGTTGAAAATAAGCTTTTTTACTTTTTCAAAAAAAATCAAACTTTTTTTCACACCTTTATGTGCAATATTAATTTCAAATTTTCGAAAAATTTTTTTCAATAAATTATCAGTTTAACATTTTAGCAAATTTTCTAAAATGGTTTTATAAATTTTGATAAATTAAATTCTTTCAACAAACTTTGCTTAAATTCATTTCGTGCTTGCTTTTCCGCACCTTAATTTTATTTTATAATTTTTTTATAATTTCGTAATTTTCATAACTTATAATTTTAAAAGTAAATGAATTGATGAGAAAAAAATTATCATTGTTAATATCATTGTTATAACTATTTTAAGACTACATTATCACTATATTGTGATAATGCTACTATTCAATGATATTAATTTTATAATAAACAATATATTTTTTTAATATATATTTTTAAAGTTCAGATATTTGGTGATAGTTTTCAGTTTCTTTGGAACTCCCAATAGAGATAATTACCATTATAATTCTCAAATCTGATCATAATATGAATTATGGAAGAGTAATATTATTATTGTTTAATTATTATTACTAATATTATTACTGTTATAATAATTATTTCTATTTTTACTCTTATCACACTAATTATTCCATCATAAGAAGCATAATGCATTAAAAATTCACTGATACGTTGACAATTTCTAAACTAGTATATATATCGTATCATAGTCATAGTTATTTTCTTATTTCGAGAGATCAACAATTTTGAAAAAGAAATTTAAAAAAAAAAATAATTTAAAAAAATATTTGTTTTTTGAAAGAAAAAAAAATTGTTGAAAAGTAGATTTAAATTAAAATTTTGCTACCGCTCATTTTGTATTAAGCTCTAAAATTTTTGAAATCAACCAATACTAATAGGCGATGACAATTTTAGAAAAGCGAAAAATTGACGATTAATAGCTTGATGGCAATGAGTTGTTTATTTTTGGGAAAAATATTTTGCGATCCTTCAAAAGTAATTGAGGTATTTAATGCGATAGCAGCACTAGAAAATTGAATTAAATTGAAATATCATCTCAAACTCTCTTATCCATTATTCTAGGAGATGAAAGACTAATTATAAGTTCCTGAAATCAATTCTAAAAAGAAATTCAACGTTTTGCACAAATTTTTGATGGAAATTAAAATTTTTTTCCTGAAAAGTTTATTGACTTTGCTTAATATTTGTTCAATTTTTTTTTTGAAGAAAAAGCAAATATTATTATTCAAAAAAAAAAAAATAAAATAAAACAAAAATGACAGTTAATTGAATTTTAAATTAGCAGATTGAAATGAATAAAATTTAACAGTGCATAAAATTGCACAAAAATATAAACATTAAAATTTATTCAATAATAAACAGGTGTCGAAAAATTATAAAAACATGAAATTTATTAGATTTTTGTCTTATTATAAAATAGTGAAGGGTAATGTTTAAATGGAATTCAGTAAGAAATGACATCAAGATTTCAAAGTTGTTTCATTAATGAATAAAATAATTCATCCAAAAATAAATTAAAAATAATTTTTAACTTTTTTCCAATGATTACAAAAATAGAAGGTAAAAAAAAGAGGCAAATTTGTTCACCTTTTTGTTTCAATTAGGAATTTAAGTAACATTTTAAACTTAGTAAAACCTAAATAGTTGTACCGGAAAATTTTATTGATAGTTTGGAAAAGGTACCAAAAAAGATTATGATAGAAGTAGATTTAGAGTAATGTAAATACTGATGCAAGTGACATGCGTGTATTGTATATCGTAACTTTTGGAATATTTATTGGTATTGAAATATACTGTAGCTTACTATCACGTACATCTGAAAAGAGCAAATTACTTCATATTTTATGCCTTGTTTTGCATAATTTAAAAAAAAAAAAAAAACATATTTTTGCTACTATAATTCGATGAAAAAGAAAATACAGTACTCTATTTGATACGGTAGCTTGGTTACCGTATATCGATTACTGATTGCTGTTGTTATGTGTAATACAATTACTGTTAGAGTTGCAAACAATAACAAATGAAATGCAAGTATTTGCAATGCATGCATTTTGTTAATTTTAATTTGTATAACTCTTGTACATGAGCATACATGTTTTGTCATTATTGTTGTCATTGCTGTTGTCGTTATTACTCTTATTATCAGTGTTATTGTCGTTTGTTATCATAGTTGTTGTCATTCCTGTCACTACTATTGTTATTATTGTTGGTATTAGTTTTATTGTTGCTGTTGCTATTGTTCTCTGTCGTTATTGTTGTCGTTGTTATTGATGCTATTGTTGTCCCAATTGTTGTTATTGGCAACTAACTAACTAATAAACTAACTAATTAATAACTAATTAAAACTAATTAATTACTAGCAAAGTGCGGTTAGATCTCATATAAGGTGACAGCCTCTAACTATAGCTATACCCGCACACATTATAATAACATTAGCATTTCATCGTTACTTGATGAGCACTACTGTAAATTTTAATAATACCGTACTATCAATTAGCATACAGCAAATACAAATATTATTTAGCAATTGATAAAAATTATTTATAATCTGATTTGATGCAATACTTTTTGCAATGATATAAGTCATTTTTTCATTTCATGAAAAAAAGAAAAATTTGTTTATTTCGAGTTTTTTTGCCTTCTAGCAGAAGTAAATTTTTACAATTTTTGAAGTCAATAAATTAAATTGAATTTCCAGTTCTTTCTGCACTAAAAATTATGCTTTATCGGTTTTTTTTTTTTTTTAATGCAGAAATCAAATAGTGAATAACTGAATTTAGAAAAGATGAAAGATGTGAAAGCAAAAGAGAAAACTTACAATGGTAATTTTGTAAATGCCAGAAAAAAGGCCTAATTTGCTGATGCCAAAATTCAAGAAATATAACATTTTAATATTATACTATCACATTTCATGGAAAATTTAGTAAAGCTGAAATTAGAAAAATACACCTTCTTCCTTTTTTTTGCTTAACAATTAATCAATGTATTATTTTTTAATATTTTTATTTTTTGAATTAAATTAAATTTGGAATGCGAAAGAAAAAACTTTTCATTTTTGTTTGTAAACAATTTCTTACAAATAAAAGAATAATAAGTTCAAATTTACTAATTTTTATTTAGCATATTCATCTGCTTTAATGATCAACAGATATAAGATAAAATAAAAGTGTACATTTTCCATATAAAATTGATAAAATACTGATAGTAAATT